TTAGTGTCGCTCAAAAATTGTCTTTATGTTTCATAATACCTTAGCAGTTTTTTATTTGTGATTAACTTGTAGATATATATGTTTTAAAAATGTCCTTTTAAAAAATTCAGTTTAAACTTTTGATGTAACAGGTGTATTTGCGATTGTTTACATAATAACTTCTTTATCAATAAAACAAACTGTTAAAATACGCGTTCAAATTAAAGGGGAAAAAGATCAGTTTAAACATGTGTCAATATCGTCCATATGTGTCCAATCGGTTTTTTTTCTGCCTGTCGAAAAGGCCCGAGAAAAAATATTAAACACCTTGTAATACTTCCGGTGTCGATCAAGTCTTTATTATTTGTGATAACTTAGTTTGTTCCATAAATAATATAGCTAACACCAAACTTTAAGTTCCAACAAAGTAATATCTAAATATTGTACCGAATATTCAAATCGTATAAAGCGTTCATTATTTGTGATAAGTTTGTTCCTTAAATAATATGACACTAAACTATCAATTCCAACAAAAGTTAAAGCTAACTCATGATATACTGAAGAATTTAATTTAAAAAAATCATCGCAGATTTCTTTTTTCATCGTGACGTCATAATCAAATGTGCACAAGAAAGTCGTCCAAATCAAATAGATTGCGTACCCAGTTTTAACGACGTCAGCAAACCCGCGACCTATGTTAAGTCTTAGAGTTGAAATCGACCCTTAAGTTTATAGTTTAGATATTACAACGGTAAATTTGTAAGCGACATATAAAATTCTTAATTGGTCATGTTTTTGTAGAATGGCTGTAAAATCAAGACACGTGGTGTCACTCGCAGGAGTGTGAAGTTATTATAGTTTTAAAAAAAATACCGGAAAAAATATTTCACTCTCTACTAAAAATACACCAGGATGGCAATGCTTTTTGGGGAGGACCCACCTTAAAAGATATGTGTCTGGGTTAAGCCCGGAGAAGTTTTACGACGAATTCATAGACCGGAGTGTTCGAGCTATTTATTCCTCATTTTGTGAATTGAGTCACATTTTCAATTACTTAACAGCTTATTTTCAAAATATAAAATATTTATTTATCAATATATATAAATATTTATAAAAAGATGAAAAATTTATGTAGTAAATAGAACACTGCTATGGTTTGATAAGTTTCTTTTAAGGAGGAATCTATACCGACGTCTTTGAGACATCTCTTCTGAATTATGGTTTCAGCATCGAAAGATTTATATTAGCTTTAAATTAAGTTTAATGATTTCTAATTATGAAAATCAAACTATTCCCGATTGAAATTAAACCAATCCCGATCAAAATCAATACAAAACTCATAATTACTAAATTACTGCATATCTCATCCAGTTTATACGAGAAAATTTTTGAAAAGGAAACATACAAAAAAATCTTGTTAAATCCTCTTCTGGAAAACAGCAGAATTATGATTATTTATATCAACAGAGAAGCATCATCATGGAGGTTTAAATCATCTCCCCGGTTGGGGGGCGTGGGAGGTCCATGCACAATAGGCGATTGAAGTTTTGCATGGAAATATGTAGAAATAGTTTTTAGGTAAGGTGTCCTAATGTTATCTGTTTTCTTCCGTCTTCGAGTGTCTTGTGTTAACATTTGAACATTTTCCGCTTCCTCCTTGGAACTGCTGAACCAATTTTGGCATATAGCAAGCATGGGTAAAGGGGAACAAAATTGTGAAATTCTTGCCTCCCCCCTCTCCCCCAAGGACTCAAGCAAGAGTGCTTCTTTCAAAATTGTGAAACTCGTGGCCCCTGGGTTAGGGGTTCTGGAGTTAGGGTGAGGCTCCTTCGGTCATATAGTGATAATGCATTGATTATTTAAAAATCTTCTCACTCCTGGGTATTTAGCACACAAACTAAGTGTATGGTTATGATGAGCAAAGCCTCTTCTGTGGTTGTGAAATTCATGCCCCTGGGTCAGGAGTTCTGGAGTCAGTACGGGGCGCCATTGATCATATTGTGAAAATGCATTAACTTTAACATCTTCTCTGCTCCTGGGTATTAAGCAAACAAACTAAGTGCATGATCATGATGAGCAAGTGTGCCTTTTCCAAATTTATGAAATTTATGACCCCTGGATTTTGGTTTTAGGGTGGGGTTCTATTGATTATATAGATATTTTTTTAAATACTCCCTGGGTCAGTTCTGGTATTAGGGTGGGACTCTATTGATTATTTAGTGAAATTGCATAAATTCTTTGAAAGTCTTTACTACCCCTGGGAATTTAGAAGATAAATCAAGTGCAGTGCATGGTTACGATAAGCAAGGGTGCCTCTTCCAAAATTTGAATTTCAAGGCCCCTGGGTCAGGTTTAATGGTGTCAGGGTAGGGCTCTATTAATTATATAGTGTAAATGCATTAATTGTTTAAAACCCTTGCCTGATAGTCGGTATTCGGCAGATAAACTAAGAGCATAGTATGTTGAGAAAGAGTTCCTCTTCCAAAGTTGTAGAATCCATGGCCCCCGGATCGGGTTTCTGGTGTTAGGGCGGGGTTCTATTGATTATATAGTGGAAATGCATTTATTCTTTGAAATTTTTCTTTTCTGATCCTGGACAACAGAATACAATTAAAGCTGTAACGAGCAAGTATGTTTTTAACAGATTTGTGAAATTCTGGATGACTTGGTTAATTGTTCTGGTACTGGGGAGGGCATATGTTTTTAACAGATTTGTGAAATTCTGGGTGACTGGGTTAATTGTTCTGGTACTGGGGAGGGCTCTCTTGATCTTGTAGGAAAAGTTGTACTCTTCTGAGAGAAGTTTTCCCTCTTTGCCTTTCGACTATCATAATTAGTAAATATGAAAAATGTAATTGATAGGTCAATTGAATAAAAAAATTATACAAGAACTATTAATGTATCATACAAAAAGTGCTTCCATAGTTTTAATGGCTATGTAGACTTGTAAAAAAAAAATAAGATAAATAAAAATGAAACAAAAATACCTTATCTTTCTATGTTTAATGTTCTTCAAAGACCAAGAGAGGCCAGTGTGGAAGGGAATAAGATGGGTTTACTATATATGTCCAAGCATTCACGTTTTGTTTAGCCTGCACGGCGATATATAGTGACTGAGAGGGTATTAGCACTGGCAAGTAAATAGACCTACTTTATGATTAAGCATTATGTATAGACTATTTTGTATATATTTTGTTTATTTTAGTCCTATAAAGTGTTGTCAGTGTATAGTGTTGTATTGTAATCAGATGACCGTTATATCCTTGGGCCTCTTGTTTTAATTAGCAAGACCACTCTAATTCATATCAATATGCAAACATCCCTTAGATGTTGTGTTTTTTTTTTTTCTAATTAGAGATCCGGGAGTTAGGGTGGTGCTAAAATCGGAATCAATGTGTTACATTACACAAGTGTACAGGAAAAAATCTTTCTTTTTTTTTTTTTTGCACAGCAAAGTCATATTAGTCAAATTATATTAAAGCATCCCAGTGTTGTGTGGATTCAGATTTGGTAAAATCATAATCCCTCGAAGCTAGAAGCTAAGTAGGCGCCACAATATATGGACAAAATTTTTCATGGGAATAAAGAGGGCAACTTAACAATCTTCTCAAGAACAGCAAGGTCAAGGTGACTCAGGTGAGCATTGTGGCCCATGGGCCTCTTGTTTTCATATACAGAACGGATATATTGATATGGTACGTTAATTCATCTTTTCTATCCAACAGCTAATGGAAGTTTCATTGTTTCAAGTCACACTTATATGAAGCAAATACTTAAATTATTTCCAAAGTACATTCTCTCATAAAGATTTATCTTTGTGTGAAGTTGTACGGAGTAATCATGGCCGTAGGAAACGGGGGTGGGAGCACGGGTAGCCCCCCCCCCCCCAATAATTTTGCCAATATATAGATTACTAGAGAAAACATGGCTACTATATGCTTGTGCCCTCTCAATAAAAACGTCTGATGACCTTTTTTATTTTTATTTTTTATTTACATATTTTTTGCTTGCCAAGGAATTTTTGGTAGTTGATAGTGTCCCCCAACTGAAAATGTATAGCTATGCCCCCCTCCCCCAACTGAAATTGACTCTGATACGACCGACCCTTCTGATTACATCTTTTGTTACGCCGTAACTTAAGAACAAAGGCCAGTGATCGCCTTTAAACTAAAGGGTGATCGGGGTTCTCTGTTGGTCATCAGAAACACATTTCATTGACTATTGCCAACTCCAGTATGCCAGTCCTCTTTTATTAAGCTGCGTGACCGTAGACTTTCAAAGATACCCTCCAACTTCACAGACTAAAACCCAATACATAAGGAATATTTAAGTACCGGTTATAACTTAACATGTGGCATCTGACAAAGCCGGTAATTCTCGCATTCAGTATATAATGTATCACAAGATTCAGGTTTATTTTGCATACAATGCATCACTAAACCCAGGTCTATTTTGTATGCAAAGTATCACTAGATCTAGATCCATTTTGTATACAATGTTTCACTAGATCCAGATCTATTTTGTATACATTGTATCACTAAGTCCATGTCTCTTTTGTATACAATGTTTCACTAGATCAAGATCTTTTTTGTATACAATGTATCTATTATATTCAATGTATCACGAGATCCAAATATATTTTGCATACAATGTATCACAAGATAAAGATCTATTTGTATAAGAGAGATAACTCTTGTTAGTTAACCTTTATAAAATTATCTCCCCACAATGATTTGTCTCGAAGTCTGTCAATGCATGGTACAATTAATATTAGCTTCAATTTCATTTCCATCATCTATTGGGTAATTATCAAAATTACTAAAAAAGAATTAAAACTATTTTTTTATAAGTGAGATACGGGCCATTCTCTCTTTCTATTGGATAAACCAACATTACCAGGGTATGTATGCCCCTTGAGTTATATATAGAAAACTCTTGTAATGATAAGGATTCAGTATTTAAAGATTTATTAAGATTTGAATGCACTTTATTGAATATTGACAAAATAAAAAATACCACAATTAATTTTTTTCCCTAATTTAGTTTATCCTTAAAAATAATAAAAACAAAAAAAAATGCTTTTCATGAATCTACAGAATGACGTAGCTTAATTTACAAATCTAAAGGATATTTTATATCTAGTACACTTGTCAATGACATTTTCTATGAGATATTGAACTGAATTCTTGTGTTTTGTTTTTTACCTTAAAAAAAAGTCTTAAAAAATAACCTGACTTCTTACATAACCAATAGTACACCACAAATTACTCAAATCTATAATGTACAATGTATGAAATTCTTTAAAGTTTTTAAAGTCTCTTTAAAAGACCTTTGAAATTCTCAGAACTTCGACAAAAATATTCATCTTTTCAACAAGTCAAAAACTGGATTCATGGCAACATTGGTCTTTTTTTTTCTTCACACATAAACATAATTACAAATATCCTCCACTCAACATGAAGACTGTTTTCTTTTCGTATTCAAAGTAACATTTTTTCACAAAACAAGTATGGTTTCAAAATACAAAAGAGAAATTGTATTTAAATGCCAGATAAAGCAATAACAGCAAAGTTTTTTAAAGAAAAAATTGCCAGAGATTGCCATATCAATCCAATTTCCTCGGTTGCTTGGCAGACCTAGCAAATTAGCAAAAGAACTAATTAGGGTACTTCAGCCACAGTAACCAAGGGTCCCCCTCTGTAGCTGTCCTGGCATAACCTGACAACTGGGCAAGTGTCACAAAGAAGGAATGGAAAGGCAGACAAGCATGATCGTCACGGCCTACCAATCAGCAAGACTCACTGGTGGTGGAGTGAGAAGTCACGGTCCAATGGTCATGTGCCCTTCCATTTGCCTCCCTCTCGAACACTTGTCCACAGGTTAGGGCACTAATGCTACAAAGCCTGAGACTTGAGTTGAAGAAAATATATAAAGTTTGCAAATGTATAAAAATATAACAAGATATAAACTATAGTAAATAACAACTGCACAACGCGGAGTGATGGCATTTCTAATAAATGAAATTCAACAAAAAAGACAATGAACCCAGCTGATCACCTTTCACAAATCGTGTACACAAAAATACACGCAGGGCATATATACCAACCAGGCTCAAATTATCCTCTATAATGTTCTCCTTTTCATTTTTTTTAAATTTCTTAACTTTTCTGATTACATCTACAGTCTTGCGAAACATCTACAGCAAAATTAAGCTGAAAGAAGCAACCAATGCATTAAGCTTCTCAAAAAAAGATTAGATTTAAAGTATTGATCATATTAGAGCTACAAGAATACACAGATATATGCTACTGTAACTTATCATGTTGTCCATATTAAGGAGGCTGGGGGGTCAACAAATTAACCATCAGAAATAACTTAATTTTTTAGATATGATATCTTAAGCTGTCAACTATCATTTGGCAAACAAAAATTTCATACATTTTAGTTTTAAAATTTGATCATTTTTGTATATCTTTATATGGAGCTCTTCTTCTAAAGGAGATCAATATAGTCTTTAAATGGCCACAACCACCCAGCCCTCTTAAAAGAAGTAAATTGTATTATTACACTGTTTATTGAAAAACTAAAATAGAAAAATGATAGAAATATCTCCATCAGCACAGGACATGAAAGGGAGAGGGCTAAAATAGGCTGAGCCTGCTGCCCAATCCTATTCACTCTTACATCTGTGAATAAAATATTGTTTAAATTAAGAAACCCCATATCCAAAATTGTGTTTGTAATGCAACATAAAAAATATGCATCTTCTTTCTTCCGTATGAGCTAACGAGAAATCTGATTATCTCCCTGAAAATTTACCAGTTTGAGGAGTTGTATGAAGTACACGTAATTCTTTACTAAATATAATAGAATAAACTTAGCTCACAATAATGAAAAAATGTTATGTTCAAGGTCAAGGGGAGGGCCAAGGTTAGAAAATTAGGATAGCCATATCATTTATGGGATGTTATGCAATAATATGTACATGTAATTTGGTAACTAAATCAGGGAATGGTTCACAAGTAAAATAAAACTCAGTAATGCTACTTAAAAAATTGAGAATAATAACGTAAGGAATTTTTTTTTAAATAAATCTGATGTTAAAACAATTAAAACTCCGATGCATTGTTTTAATTCTACCATTTACATAAACGTAGTAAGCATGATATAATAAAAAATGCTAGACAAACTATATAATTCACGCCTCATCCAGTTGGTATTTTCCCCTGGTGTTAAGACACACACACCCTTCTATGTCATTCATATGGTATACAGTTGTGTTTATACGTCAGACTCAGACTTGGGAGGTTTCTTGGGTTTTTTTGTCGGCGTACAGTCCGATGAAGGAGCCGTCCTCGTTGAATTTGTTCAGCTCCTGGTCGACGTCATATTCTCCGAGACTGTCATCGTCGTCATCAGTAATGTGTTTTTCGTCCTCGTAATCATACACTGGGTAGTTAGGACTTCCGTCGTCGTCCCTGTAAATGATATACAATTATCAGAATGTGATTTTGAAGTTTCACACATGCTTTTTCTAACATCAGTATAGTTATATATAAAATTCAATTCAATGTTTTTCTGGATCATAAGTTTGGCTGCTAGAACTTGTTGGGTTTAAATATTAAAAGATGAAATCAGAAAATAAATTTTGCAAAATATATATAATATTCTATATTGCAATATTGCCATAATGTACAATTCTTATAATAAAAAGTATACAGGCATTTTTTTCAGTGTTAAATGTAATTACTCGTATATACACAATAATACTCTATACAGTAATCTATTTACAACAATACATTATAAATAATGCACTTCACATAAAAGTCATATCTATATGAACATGTAATAATATTGAGTGAATCCTGTCTAATTCGACATGCACTGGAAGAAAAGTTTTGTGTCAGAAAAGACAAGGTGTCGGATTACACTGTGTAAAATCAAGGTTTCTTAATATTGACCGAAATAAGTTTTTCTACTGTACTTGTATATGAAATATGAAGATAACGAACAGTATTCAATCTCGAAAGTCCAATGAAACAATACAAAGGAGCAAGCAAACACGGACCTCAGAGTTAAAGCAGGGATCAGGTGTCATGGATGAGTGAGCATCCCCTCCCAACTTATCACACCCGTCGTGTGTTCCTTGTCATGATCGGGAGAAAAAAATCCGTAGACAGTTCAGTGTTGAATAATGGCCTAAGAATTAGTATGAAAACGTCAATCAGCATTTGACTCAATGATAGGTTGCTGACAAGGTCATTTTATCGACCATAAAACTTGCGAAATGATGACATCAAACGAGAAAGTTGATATCCTTGTTTCATCAACTTGTTTGTCAATAGCTTGCCTCATTTTAAAAATTGTTCATACAATGCTCTTGCGAATCGAATCAACTGAGAGACATAAACCCCATATGCAGGTGATAAGGGTATATTAGAGAAATACCGACATCTTACGAATGAACGTAACCAAAAAAGGGGATCGTTCATTGTATTCACATTTGCATTATTTAATTCTTCAATGTTATTGCGATTTCAAAAGATAAAATCCCCGCAGGATACCTCAAAACTACTTCTTGTCGTTGTCGCTACCGTGAGGCTACAATACATTTAAACGAGCAAAGGGGTTCCGAAAAGGGAAATACACATGTAAAAGGAAAATGAAAAATGTCTCATTTTGAAGCATGAAGTCAAAGATTCTGTCTTACGAAAACGAAAAAGAGGGCGAGGGAGAGTTAAAAAAAATAAACATAAAACAATGGCCTTTTTGTTCATGCTACTGGCTAAACTTTGCACATGTAAATCATATACGGTGCCAATTTTGATGCACCAGATGCGCATTTAAAGTTACATAGTGAGTCAATATCATGTGTTTCTTTTAAGTTTTCTTTTTCGTGTTGGGGCAAACTAAAATTAATTTTACTTATATTTTTCTCCACAATAGTAGATTTTTTAGGTTCTGAAACCTGTAATTTTCTTAAACCTAATACTTTTAAGAATTGAATTAAATCTGCATGTGTCTTGCAAAAATTTAACTTCTGTCAGTTTTCCCGTTAGTCCGTCACAGGGTCTCTTTAAACAAATTATGTCTCTTAAGTAGATTCCTTTTTTTACGCGAGTACTTAATATCGCAAAATGGCCGAAGGGCGTCAAATCGTGAGAACAATAATTCGCGAATGGGTGATTTATCTAGAGATTTTACATACAGTAAAGCACCATAAAATAAAAGCGAGTAATTTTATTTCGCGAGTGGCGCTTCTCGCGTAATAACGCGATAATTTATTCCTCGCGTATATTTAGGAATCTACAGCAATGCTCATGCTGAATCGTTGGAAATCCGAAATATTTAATTTAAAAAAATCAAAGAGCTGAAAAGGGGGGGGGGGGCAAAGACTGGAGCAAAATTACATCGAAGGATCGCATATATCTAAGAAGAAGCCTTATCAACCGAAAAATTACGAACCGGCTTTTTTTCTCCCACGGATTCATGATATGGCTATAATACATGTACATGTATATTGAAGCCGGGTTTAATTTTATTTTGATAGTTTTCTTAGCCATTACAAGGAATTATCATCTGTGACAATATCTGTGTAGACAATTAATCAATAGCCATTCCTGACGTGACATATATGAGAATGTTCTTGTAAATGAAACTCATGCACACTCATTTTAAAATATTCAGTTTTTTACAAAGAAAAATGCAATGCAATTAAATCAGCTGAACAGAAATTGGCCTTAGTAACCCCTGTCCACATGAATGCTGCTTCGGTGAGTAATTTCCAGACACGTGGTATCAACCAAATTAGGTTAGACCATCTTTAAAAAATTGTTTCTTTGCCCTCACCGACTGGCTAAAAATGACCCGACTAAAAAACTTGTTTAGTCTGAGGAAATGATAATTTTTCCTCCTGAATTTTCTTTCTCCATCAATAAGAATGTTGACATTTTCTGGAAAAAAAATTAATAACCTATCTACCGACCCAATTTTTATATGATAATGTATAAAGAAAATTTTTTCCGTAAAAAGTTGGACCCCCCACATGAAAAAAGGATTTTCGAGTTTAAACCTCACCCCCTTTTTTGTTTTTGTTTTGTTTGTTTGTTTGTTTTTTTTGTTTTTTTTTTTTTTTTTTTTTTTTTTTTTTTTTTGCATGTCAGATTTTTTCTTGTAAGTTGATTTTTTTTCTCTGGCTCCCCAAACCCCTCCCACTTTTAAAAACGAAAATTATATGTTTCTAATTCGACTAATGAATAATAAATAAATCTGCAGCAATATAACTTTTACCAGAAAGAATTTATGAGAGTTTTAAAAAATGAAAAAAAAATATGAAAACTCGTCTGTTCTGTTTATTTGCCCGTGTGTGCACTATGCAGGTACATTTGAAGCCATCGTCGGAAACCCACGGATGATCTCGTCTTTACTCACCGTGGGTTTCCGACGATGATTTGAAGCATGCCTTGACAACTCAGTGAATCAGCGTCATGCACTTGATGTCTTCAAATTATTCACATTTAGAGAACTACAGTATCTTTTTGTCAATGTACTTGAATAAATCAAGGATTTTTTTTTTCTTAGAGGTGACGCAAGTTATAATTTCGACTATAGTTTTTTTTCTGTACATTAGAGCTTCGGTCGAAATTACTCTGAGTGCGGGGTCAAAGTTACCCTTCACGTATACAGTGTATCTTGTAATTTTATATTCTGACGAATAATGCATGCTTAACAAACAATGATATAATGGTACATAGCTTGAGTACAAAGAAAATTTTAAAAATACACCACCCAGAGGGGCCTGCCCCCACCTTTTTTACTGTTGGAAATGTTCATTGAAAGGCTCGTTGCCCCCCCCCCCTCCCTTTGTTGCAGTACAGTCAAATAAGGCTAATGTAGTAATGTATGGAAAAATATTGGTACCGATTTCGGCTTGTCAGGTTTTTTCAGGTAAGTTGAATTTTTTTCTCTGGCTCCCCCCCCCCCAGCTTTAAAAAAACGATGCTATGTCTGTGAACCCTACCCAAATACATAATTTGCAGCTTTTATAATCCACATATCTGTACAGATACAACATATATCACGAAAGGCAGCCGAAAGATAAATTAAGTGAAGATTGCAACATAATACATCATCCAAGAAGATACTGTCTATCATATGAATGCTCGTTTATTTCTTTGAAGTGATATTTCACATAAAGAAAACCCTACCCTTCTTTCTTTATGAAGTTACTTTTTCTTTTACTAGATACGATATGGGAAAAAAAAATATTGCATATGCATGCATTGCCCCATTCCACTTTTATAAGGATTGTAGTATATGGATCGTAGTATTCCATGTATTTAGTTAAATGTAATGAAAATGGACATTCAATTCGATTAGTTGAGCTTTGACCCCCTCTCCCTCCCCAAGTACACAAACATCTACGCGCGACCACTTTAAAAATATTACGTTTTCCGGAGAAGTGCCAACTATTTTCTGATTTTTAATGGTTGATTTCTGAAACATTGGAAAACAATGCTACATTGTATAATTCATTACAACAATTATTGTCCATTGCATGTGCTCTCTCTCTCTCTCTCTCTCTCTCTCTCTCTCTCTCTCTCTCTCTCTCTCTCTCTCTCTCTCTCTCTCTCTCTTACAAGCACATAAATGTATACTTTTAAGTACAAGACACTATATAATCGCATCACCTGGTAACTTGTTGCTTTGCATGGATTTATACAGGGTGTGAGTTTAGAATTCATCCATGCTATAAAACGTAACTTTCCCCAAATGAACACAGCTCACACTAGTATATACGTATAACCACTGACGCATGACAAATGTGTTTCCTAACCCGTCATAGGTATTTTGGCGTATTTTCTTCTATTTGTCCGCTTTTAATTACCTTGTTAGTGATTACAGAAAATTAGACAGGAGAAATTATCATTTACAAAGTCATTAACATACTGTCCGTTCTATTATACACATATACTTAATTTTTCTGATTTATTGATTTTAAACTAGGTGCAATAACTGGTCCTGGGAAAACTACCGAGATACGGGAAGTTAGGGCGAGTTACGTTCGTTCGTAAGATGTCGGTATTTCTCTATTGCTACATAAGTAAGGGAAGTTGACGATTAAAAAGTTGAAGTCATCACGTTTATCATAAAGCTTTGCTGTTATGTTACCATTAACGTCTTTTTCTAGTAAAATATCTAAATATGAAGCAGATGTGTCAGACTCTGTGGTATCTTTTATTTCAAGCTCACTGAGATATATCGAGTCGACATATGAATTAAAGTAACTATTGTTAATTGATAATACGTCATCGATATATCGATATGTCGAGTTGAAGGCCACAGCAAGTGTTTTCTTCTTCTCGTGTAGACGTTATTGAATAAATTCTGCTGCATATGAATAAAAATATAGGTCTGCAAATAACGGGACGCAATTGGTACCCATGGGAATTCCAATAGATTGTTGGAAGACCTGATCTCCAAAACTACATAGATATTGTCAATCATAAACTCATGAATATATATGAATAAATCAAGAAGCAGTAATATTGACATAGAAAATTGTAAAATGAGCTAAAATATCCAGACATGAAAGAAACTTCAGACTAAAAGCCTTCATATATGTACACATGTACATAAACTGTACTTTGATGAACAAGCTAAAACTCAGGATATCTGAAAAGAATTTCAGTCATGTTTGTAAAATTTGACAAATGTTACTGTCATAAAACATGAACCCCCCTTAATCATATAATAATAAAACCTGCTTATGCCCCCCCCCCCCATTTTAAACCTTTAAAATGCTTTGAGATGGTTAGATTGTATTATTTGATAAATGATATATCAATTTTAATTTGACTAAGTGGAAGAGGTCAATTGTGATATATTTTAATCGATTAAGACTAATTCTATCCATATGCAGAAAAGTTTTTCTTCATATTTGAGATGCATAGACACTAATATAACATCACGAACATCTACATGTACTTCTATAGAACATTCTCTGCATTGAAATTTATTGTTCCTAAGGTAGATCAGAGTTTAAAGTTGTATGCATGAAAATATAAAGACATGTATGTATTTATTTTTTGTACCACTTCCAATCATTCAAAGAAAATATAAACATAGTTACGTATCTAATACTTTATACAGATGCATGAAACCTTAAAGTGCCCAGTCCCTCTGACGTTTGACAACAAATGAACACATGAATGTTGAAATATTAAAACTTTTCAATGGTTGCCATGGATACTTACGCCCTTGAGAGATCATGGAAACCACACTCTAGCAGCTCTTTTTCAGGGTCATGACCTGCTGCCAATTCTTTCTTTTCAACTTTAAACAAAAAAAGTTTTTTAAACTTCTTTAGTACATGCACTGTTCGTGCACATATACTGGCATACTAAATAAATGTCCGATCAAAATTTCTATTAAATCCAAAAGTTTTCCATGAAATACAGTAAACTTTTCAAATTCATTATAACTCTGAGTATTTCATTGATTTACCTTTTAGATTGTTGGTCAAGAGAAAGTTTGTGGCATAAATTACTGTGCTTAACTTGAGTTATAAATTAAAGTTTTTTTCTCAGTAATTTGAATGGATGCTTACCAGAATGTACTCCTCCCCGGTTTCTGCGAACAATAAAGAGCACGAAAATCGAGAGGATGATTAAAAATATCACGCCCCCTGCTATGTAGATGATGAAGTTCAGATTGGCCTTTTGAACAATGAGTGCCTTTGGAGCAACTGTTAAAAAAGGTCTTACATTATCTATATAACATATACATTTTCTAAAAATAAATATATTGTTAATAGGGCTTTCAACTCTTAAAGTGATTATGATAGAATTTCTTACATGTATGAAATTATTGGTCAAACCACTAAAGACAACATGCTTTGTTGCAACGCTCTTTGAAAAAATTACGCACTTTGAAAAAAAATTTCAAAGTGCGTTAAATTTTGGACTAAATCAACGCACTTTGAAAATTTTTTTCAAAGTGCGTTAAGAGTGTACATCAACATTTTTTACCATGGAGACACTTAATGCACTTTGAAAAAATACGCATAAAACAAAAATTCTGGACTTAGATTTTAATAATAGACAGCATTAATTTGTTATATTTCTTCTGAAAAACTAATGAATTGATCTACCCTCATCGAGAACGAGGAGAAGACAGGTAGAAAGTTCCTCAGCCCAGCTTTCTATCTTTCCTACACAAATATATGTACATGTATTTACATAACTGGTATGACATTGATATTATTTCTATTAATAAATTTGAGTTAATTTAAAATAGATGAAAAAATTGAGATAAACTTTCCTGAAAAAAAAAATACGCACCCTATTACTAGTATATTAAAAAAAGAGCCGCATAACCTTTATTCAAAATGTATCCACAATGATTCCTCAGAAAAAATGCATTTACATGGTAATTAAAACATGCTATTTGACATGTCTAGCGTTTTTATGATATCAAATTACAGATTTAGAAGTTATCTGATTGCATAACTTTTTGAGAAAAAGTTATTAGTGAACGAGGTAAAAATTTCAGTCGAGTGAGTAATGTGGCTAAGGTTTATTTTTTTACTATCAAATAAATGAGTCAACCATTGTTTCATATATATTCACAATAGATAGATGAATATGATAGAAAAATAGATGAGAGAGAGAGAGAGAGAGAGGGAATTTTCATGGTATGGAAAAATCATTATTGCTCCCTTTTCCCTAAGTAAATTGCGATGCTTTAAGTCACTTATCGACATCTACATCTACCAAACTTATTAGAGACTGGATAAAATGTAAAAAAGAAAAGAAAAAAAGAAACAAAACTGTGCTATTAAACAATAATTCCTCCATTATTTCTATGACCCATTTCCCTTTTATAACAATTACAAAAACCTTTGGAAACAAAACAACTCCTAAAAATCTTTAAAACGTCTATATCTCGGATCCTGACGTATCACCGAAAAGTTATCCAACCAGGTTCAAATAATTATTTATCATACCTAAAATTTGAAAGAATATTGACCATGCAAGCCGTGCACATTTTTTTTCAATGTGCGTTAATATGATCAATATTAACGCACTTTGAAAAGTAATATTTTTTTTTTCAAAGTGCATGAACGTGGTACCAAAATTAACGCACTTTGGAATTTTTTTTCAAAGTGCGTAATTTTTCAAAGTGCGTTGTAACAATGCTTACAGCTGGTCGTAATTATTTCTGTTTCCACTGTGACTTTGATTTTCTCAGAGTCGTAGTTATGGAAGACGTCCACTATATATACCCCCGACAAGGACAGCACCACACTAGGATCAGAAACCTGACTGACATCAATGGTCAGATTGTTGAGTGTAGGCCTGGTTATCCTCCAATAGTCACTGTCTTTGACCACTTGCTCTTCACCGTTTACGTTGATAAACGTCCACTTGTAGCGTAGAGACAAGGATGGTTCACTTGTAGCCGAAACTCCCAGACTTAGGGTGTCTCCCGGCATAATCTTATAGCTTCCCTGTGGTCTTTTTAATATCGTAATAGGATCTGGAGAAAAAATGCAGTTTAGTCAACTAAATCATGCAGAAAGATATTTCAAACCTGCTTCACTGTTTTATTATTTAAAATTATGATCATTTTTAAATGTCATTATTTTATGAAAATTTTATACACAAACTCACTTAGATTCAGAAGAAAGATTTTGTTTTTATTTTACTTTCATGATTTTCAAACTTTGAAACTGCAACAACGACATTTACCTTTAAGATATATATGTATGTGAAAAATGATTTTAATTATTTACCGTTATTAATTTCATTTTTTTAAAGTAAAACAAACATTTCAGTTTAGACAGGCTCAAAAAATCAATAAACACACACATAGGAAATTCTATACACTCCCCACCTATTAAACTGGGGTTATTATGAAGACATTTTTTTTTTTTTTTTTTTTTTTTTTGCAAAAATGAGTTGGTCACAGTACCTATGACCTTGAGTAAAGCCTCCTTTAACAGGACACCTTCGCTGTTTTCAGACATACACTGAAAAGCTCCTGTGTCCAAGCCCTTCTGTACATTGGTCACAATTAGCGTCTGGTTGTTGTCCCTCAAAATGTACTTACCAGTATCTGAAAATCAGTATCGATGTGTGTATGAATATTTCAGGGAAAGATTTCTTTTCTTTAATAAAACTATTACAAAAAGTAACGTTTTCGAGGCTTTTCATTTATACTATTTCCATCAACTGGTAGAACTGCTCCATTCTTCATCCACTGTGGAGGAGTTGGTGCATTTTCCTCAGGTAAAGATATAACCTGACAGTAAAATGTGGCGTTTTTCCCAGTTGACACCAACAAATCATTCATCTGAGGATTTTCTGATTCTTTAAGCATTGGGGCAGCTAAAAAAATCAATCATTAATGAAGATCACAATATAAAGAAGTTCAAAGCTATCTTAGCTTTTACTTCTAGATAACTTATTTACTTGTGTCAAAATTAGATTAAAGGTTCACTTAAAATTTCAGGTTGACCTGTGAAACTTTTTCAATCAGTCAGAAGTTGCAAAATACAAGCCAACAGACCCTAAACCATCCTAAAATCAGCTCTTTTTTATGAACTTTAACTCATCTGACCAAACAGTGTCATATATGTTAACTATGGCCAACCTTCAACAAATACATTCCAATTGTCAACTTACAGGTAACATTAAGAAAAACCTGTTGGGTGTTTATCTTGCTATTGCCTTTTCCTCTACAATAGTAAGGGCCTTCATCATTCTGTATTGCATCCTTAATGGTCAGCATCCTGTTGAAATCACTGATGACATATTTTGCAGAATTGTTGATAACTTTATCGGCAGGAGAAATCCACTCAATATCTGGTGCAGCACTAGAAACAAAATTGACTAACAAAATTGCTTATTGATAATATGTTTTCTTTTATAAACTTGCAAAATGGAAAAGTCTGAAAGATTTTTGAGGAATAAATAGCATTGTCACAATGTTATAATTCCTGTAATAATAGCATTTTACGTTATGACAATGTTGTAATATTCCTGTAATACTGTGAAATCACAATTTTTTTTTTTTTTTGGGGGGGGGGTTAAAAATTTTCGCTGATTCGAGGTATGAAGACTCCCACGAATTCAAGTCCACCACGAAATGTAAACTGTCATATACATATCTACTCAGGGATTCTTCATCCACAAAATTAAGTTCCCATAAACCCATAGTTTTTGCTCACGAGAATTTTACATTGTCACTATGATATAATATTCCTACAATTATAATAGAATTTTACACTGTCACAATGTTATTATATTCATGTAATAATAGAATTTAACATGTATGAATGCTTAAATTTTGATAATAAATTCTACTCACTATCCTGAAAACATGCATTTCAGAACACCCTCGCCTCTGTACTGGGCCTTGCCATTGGATTTATAGACCAGAATTGGATCCAAGCTGGGGGCACGACTGACACCTGAAGAAAAAATTCAAACACTGATAAAATACCTCAGTAAAAAAGTAAATAAAATACTGGAAAACATTTTTAGAATCAATAGCAATTTCTAGAAATAACTAGCTATGTGATTGTGACACGAATGCCCCTGCTGATATGAAGTTTTCAATATGTGGAAGTCCAAGAGTGTGAAAATAACAATCGGTAGGAATGGCACAAACATGACAAAAATAAAATATTGTATAGCTGCTTTTATTTTCCAGAATCAATATTTCTTAACCACAACATAATTAGGCTGTGTGAAACGGTGATCACTTACAAGGCTATCAATAAAAAAAGTCCAAAGACAGTGCCTTATTAGAAATTCTCTCATTCGAAGGGTCATGTTGTTTTTTTAAATAAGTGAATCAATGCTAAACTCATAGTTGATCTGTAAGTTATCAATATAAAGACACAGACCAAAATACAGCAAAAAAAATATGTAAAATAGGTAATAAAGACTATGGAGTTCACTACAACAAATGCTATCTTAAAGTAAGGCAAAATTCCACACTAAACTAATAATCTAGTAAGATGCATCCCTAGTTATTTTGGTAGGGTTTGCAGTTTCTTGGGAATGGACTTAATCTTGAACTTTAAACTAATCACTAATCAAGAAAATGCAGGTTAGATCTAGCATACAATGCAAAACGTAAATCAGATCCAGTATCTGAAGAAAGTCTGGTAGCGTACATCCCTAGACGTATCATCAATACATGTTTGCTCTATAAAGGGCTTAAAATAAACTTGAACGAACCTGCTTCAAAACCTTTTACTCGGTCGCTCATCCAGAAGATGTAGTTCATATACAACATCTGAATCAAGTTTGATAGTGTGCATTCCTTGACGCATCATCCATGCAATTTTGGTCTAGGTAGGCCTTGAAGGTACATTTGAATGAACTGCTCCAACAACTTTAACTCAATCAAAAAATGAAGGTCAATCAATCATCCGAAGCTATAGAGAGTGCATCCCCAGATACTAAACCCATGCAAGTTTGGTCCAAATAGTACTTGATATCATACTGGAATGAGCCTGCTCCAAAAACTTTAACCTAGTCACTCATCCAGAAAATGTGAAATCAAGCACTCGAAGAAAGCCTTGTAGTGTGTATTACTAGATGCAAATTCCCTACAAGTTTGGTCCAGAAAGTGATTGAAGTTACATTGGAATGAATCTGCTCCAATACCTTTAACCTGGCCTCTCATCTGGAAAATGTAGGCAAAATCAAGTATCCGAAGCATATCTGGTTGTCTCTTGTTGCATCATCCATGCAAGTTCGGTTCATTTAGACCTTATAATTTCTTGGTAACTGATTTGTAAAGAAAATAATCTCGTCATTCATCCGGAAAATATTGGTTAGATCCAATTAAAAACTTACGACTTTTCTATTTTATACACAACCATTCCCCACGATAAATTAAAGTCCAGGCGTTTTGATATAATTGACAGCTGCTTTTTCAATAAAAATGGAACTCGTAAATATACTTACCTTGTCATTGGTCATTTGCAAAAGTATTTTGTTAAAAAACATTCTGATTGTACACACAAGTACTCTGAAGTTGACATTAAAAAGATGCTTGAGTTTCTGATTGACAATATCTATGTGGTTTTTGGAGACCAGGTCTTCCAACAATCTATTGGAATTCCCATGGGACTAATTGCACCCCGTTATTAGCAGACCTTTTTTGTATTCATATGAAGCAGAATTTGTCCAAAATCTTGTACGTGGAAAGAAGAAAACACTTGCTGTGGCCTTCAACTCGACATTTAGATATATCGACGATGTATTGTCAATTAACAATTGCTATTTCCATTCTTATGTCGATACGATATATCCTGGTGAGCTTGAGATAAAAGATACCACAGCGTCTGACACATCTGTTTCATATTTGGATATTTTACTTGAAAAAGACGTTAATGGTAATCTAACAACCAAGCTTTATGATAAACGTGATGACTTTAACTTTTCAATCGTCAACTTCCCTCACTTATGCAGCAATATACCTTCTTCACCTGCATACGGGGTATATATCTCTCAATTGATTCGATACGCAAGAGCATACTCTACGTATGTACAATTTCTAAAAAGAGGTAAATTATTGACAAACAAGTTGATGAAACAAGAATATCAGCTGTCTCGTTTAAAGTCATCATTTCGTAAGTTCTATGGTCGATACAATGGCCTTGTCAGCAAATACAATTTATCATTGAGCCATATGCTTACTGACGTTTTTCATACTAATTGTTAGGCCATTATTTACACACTGAATTGTCGACGGATTTTCCGTTATTTCCCGATCATGACAAGGAGCACTCGGCGGGTGTGACCGGTCGGCAGGGGATGCTCTCTCCTCCATGGCACCTGATCCCACCTCTGATGTTTAGAGGTCCGTGTTTGCTCTGCTCCCTTTATTTTGTATTGTTTAATGGGCTTTTGAGCTTGAATACTGTTCGTTATCTCCATATATTTCATTCAGCATCCGAGGAATGTCTAGTAGTGTGCAGCAATAAATGTGTCATGAGTCACCATGACCCAGCAGATGTTTTTTACCTATATACTCATATGTAAAAATTTGATCGCATATTGTGGCCTCACCATACCCCTTGGAATCTTAATTTGGACAAATCTGAATCTACAATATCTAAGGATGCTTTAATATAAACCTAACCATGGTTTTGCTGTTTTTTAAAAAAGGATTTTTCCCTATATATTTCTATGTAAAACGTTGATTTCCCATTGTGGTCGCAACCTACCCCTGGGGGTAATGATCTGAATATAAACTTAAATCTACACCACTTTAGGATGTTTCCATATAAATATACCTAACCATGCCTTTACTTTTCTTTTAAAAAAAAAAAACGGCCACGGTAGCCTAGTGGTACGGCACTCGCTTCGTGAGGCCCGGTGTGATTCTCGTTCACCGTGCAGCGTCAAACATATATAGTGACAGTTTGTTCGCCAAGCGCCGGCACTAGAAGTAAAAGTCATGAGTCCTTTGGAAGAGACCCTAAAACAGAGGTCCCGTGTCAAGGTAGGCTTTTGCACTATAAAGAACCCTCACTGCTCAATGGCCCTGAGTGCCGAGTATAGGTCTAAAATGGAAAACCCTTCACCGGCATACGGTGACGCCTCTATATGAGTGAAAAATTCTCAATTGGGACGTTAAACAACATAAAATCAATCCTGAGAAGAAGATTTTTAAAGATTTTCCCTATCTTTTTTTACGTAAAAATTTGATAGCCGATTGTGGCCCTATCGCCCTCCCTACTGCGGGGGTAATGATTTGAATGTAAACTTGAATCTACACTACCTAAGGATGGTTCCATATAAATATGATTAACATTGGTTTTGCTTGTCTTGATTTTCCCCATATACTCAGCATTCCTGTGTAAAACTTTGATCGCCCATTGTAGTCCCACCCTACCCAAGGGGTTATGTTCTGAACAAAGTGTATCTACACTATGTAATGAAGCTTTCAAATAGGTTTTATTTTTTCCTGATCCAGTAGGCATTGAGAAAAAGATTGTAAAAAGATGTCATCGAATTTTTAATTATTCTAAATTATTTCTGCTTGAAAGAGGGAGTACTGACCCTTCATGACAGTGAAATCAATTCCCCTTTACCCAAAAATGCTTTGTTTGAAATTGGCCCAGTGGTTCTGGAGACTGTGAAAAGTTTACGACGACAAGAACAACAGACAACGGATATATTTAGATCAGAAAAGCTTATTTGAGCCTTCGGCTCAGGTGAGCTGAAAAGTCTGGAATTCTAACTATGACGGAATGACAAAACGACAGAGAGAGAGAAGGGGTAACATTATATGCTCTCGCCATTTCATGGACGGGGAATAATGAATAATTATGTATATCTTTTTCCTTACAATGTTTTCACTGATTCGGGAAGTAACTATTCAACTATTCGTAAATGTTAGAGTCATTCTGCTAAAATATAATTTTCATAAACTTTTACTGCTTACTCTGAATTCTAAGAGTTGTTATACTTCCAACAACCAACATCTTGAGTTGTTCTTGCCATACTCCACACTTGTAATTTAAGCCAGTCCAGTCTGAGCCTGTTGTCCATATGAAATGGAGATCACCTGTAAAGGAATATAAATTTAGTTTATAAATAGAACTTAAATTATCTGAAAATTGTACAGTAAAATGTTCAACAACCGCAATATATTTAAGTGGAATGAATATAGTTTTTTTTATTTCCACCCACCATTTCCATCCACCCCGATTCTTTTTGATATTTCCACATTTGTTTTGGCACCTAGTCCAATTTTCCACTCCACTCTGCATTCAGAATCTGGTAAACATTCTGGTTTGTCTCGACAGGGGATTTTACAATGTTCATATTCCTTACAGTGTATTTCCTTATGATCTTTTGAGGGAAAAGCTCCCATTACTACAAAAATATGGTTTTCAAACACAACAAAAAATAATATGAGGCTACAAGACTCTCATGGTTCTCTTTCGGGAAAATGATACAGAGAAAAAATATTGGAAACCATTTACTTCAGCCATCTTATAAGCCAAGAAATACACAAAGAGAAAGCATATTTTTCATTAAGCGCACTCACAAAAGTAAAATTAAATTACTTGAATATACACTACATGGGGATTCCTGCATTTTAGTATGCCTATTGACAGCCCTGTTTTTCTTTCTTTAAAAGAAAATACTATTCATATATGTCTCAAACATTGTTCCCATGCTGTATCCTCTGGATCAATGATTTGAACAAACTTGCATACCCATTATCACTACAAGAAATGTATCATACTAGTATGACATATCGGCCCTGTCATTCTTAATTTTTTAAATTACCCTTTACGAGGGGGTATCAAAAAGTTCGTGGACTAGCACCATAAAATTATAAACGCTTTAGGTACATCAATGAATTTTAATATATTCAGTTAGTATCATCTTGTCTATCTATAGAATGAACCATAAATCAGAAGTTTTATTTTTTAATAAATTGTAAATGTTTTTGTACGCAATGGTATGTCCAGGCGGCGCAACCTCAAATATGACGTTTTTTCTGAGAAAAACTCTTTTTTTGATATGAGCATTTGTCATAAAAAATCCCCTTATTTCAGGCATATGCATGTTGTACGACACAATTGTTCACTAAAATTTGTAATTTTTACCCCATTCTGTAAGTAATATGCAATTTTATCGTAAATTTATATGGAGTCTCCAAACAATTAAGGGCTTGAAGATGACGTCAAAGGGGGGGAAAGTTTCTTTTTCCAGCATTCTATAAAGTTTGGCACCTGGAAAAACTAGTATAGACCTAGGGAATGTTTAACGGGCCACGGAAAAATAAAATGCATCCAGAGTACTTGTTTTTAAATGCCCAAAAACATTCAGAGAGATGAAAGATGCACAGTTAATGTCGATTTCTAGTAAGGGTGTCAAAAGTCAGTCACGTCGAAAGTGGCGTTGATCATGTGTGGTAGAAATAGAACTCCAACAAGCTAAGTATTCTGGCATAATCAAGTGAGAATCTTTCCCTATGTATAGATCCATTTACAATATCATGTGCATTGAAAGCAGGTATTCATGACATTGTAAAGTCATATGAATAAGATGGGCTTAAGTCCTTACTTATCATCAAGATAAGTGTATAAGGTAGAGAGCGGACATTGAGAAACAACAACGTTGTCGAACGTCATGAAACTAAACGGCGATAGTGCTAGGTGATCAAATAATGTCCTTTCTGTTTTAGAATAATTTGGCAAATTATCAACGTATCAAGCTAAAATTTTCAACATTTCTTAAACTTTTGTTGTTTAATGTTGCTAAAAAATTCTGTAAGCACAGCCTACATAGTATCAATTTTATCGAATCAGTCCATGAACATTTTGATAACCCCTCGTATAAACATTAGGAAAAGCTAATGAAAAATGACCCCCTATTCCGACCAAATTATTTGATCAAATGATTCTTTAAAAATACATCCATTTCACAATTAGATTCTCAATAAGAACTCTGCAGGTTGAAAGGTCATTCTCACACAGTGTAGAGGAGGGACTGTTGAGGATAGGTAGACAGACAGACAGACAGATTACTACTGGGCATCTACATCTTGATGAAGGACCCTCATGATGGCAATAGTATGTGATATACTTGATTGTGTTTTTTAATCAGCTCTTATCAACTTTTACTGTTTTACTTACAAGCCATTTTCACTTCAAAGGGTATGGAAAGTGAGATCCCAAAATCATTTTTAGCAAAGCATTGATATGTTCCATAATCAGAACCCTGCATCTCATTAAATTTCAGTGTTCCAGTATCTTTGTCCACATACACATATTTGCTGTTCCGAACAATCACTCCATCTTTTTTCCATTCATATCTATATATAAATAAATAAATCAGAAGTTTCTTATGTGTCTACTTGTGTATACAGGCACGTGGTATCGTTTTTTAAAGAAGAAGGGTGCCAGCCAGCAAAGAAACTGACAATTTACCGGAAAAAGTCTTTGAAAGAAAAAAAAGGTAAGTTGTTCGAAACTAAAACAAATCCTATTTGTATGTGTGTGTGTGTGAGTGAGTGTTGGGGGGAGGGCGTTTGATACAGCCCCAATTGAAACAGAAAATTAAAATCATTACTCAATTAAGACAAAATTGAGACAGCTTGTTAAATTTATTTTAGAAACAGCAATATCCATAGAGACGAATTCTTTTTTCAGTAACAGGTGAACTGTGTATTGAAACTGGAAGTCTCTCGTAAAACTGTATTTCATTAATAAAATGATACTTATTTTAGAAAGTAATACAAGTACTTATGAAAGTAAAGAAAAGTACTTGTGACGATACATATTGTTGTTTTGTACATTTTGTCGTCGGCGACAATGTGTACCTACCCCCACTGCACACATTGTTGTCCATCGGTACATGTTTCATGACAATACATGACAATGCTTCCGTATAAATATTACTAATCATTGCTTTGCTATTCTTGAGAAAAAGATTTTAAAGAATATTCCTATACATTCCTATGTGAAACTTTGATCGCCCATTGTGGTCCTACCCTAGCCCCGGGGAACATGATTTGAAGAAATTTTAATCTACAGTACCTGAGGATGCTTACATATGTCATCACTAATCATTGGCTTGTTCTTAGGAAGATTTTTAAATACTTTCTGTATCCATTTCCTATGTAAAACTTTGAACGACCACTGTGGCCCCACCCTAACCCTGGGGGTCATGATTTGAACAAGCTTGAATTTATACTATGTAATGAACTTTCAAATAAGTATCAACTCTTCTGGTCCAGTAGTTTTTGAGAAGAAGATTTTAAAAGATTTTTTCCTATATATTTCTATGTAAAACTTTGATCATCTGTTGTAGCCCCACCCTTTCATAGTCTGAATAAAATTAAATATCTACTTTATAATGAAGCTTTCACGTAAGTTTCAACTTTTCTGGCACAATGGTTCTAGAGAAGATTTTGAAAAGATGCCACTAAATTTTCATTAATTATTAATTATCTTCCCTTGAAGGAGGGATAGCACTTTATTTAAACAAACTTGAATCCCCTTGGTAAAAATTGGCCATTAGTTTATGAGAAGAAGCTGAAAATGTGAAAAGTTTACAGAGGGACGGTCAGACGTAAAACAGACAAAATGTGGTAAGAAAAGCTCATTTGAGCTTTCAGCTCAGGTAAGTTAAAATATTGACCCCAATTCCAATTATATCGGGACATGAGTAAGAATAACGCAAATTTTCTAGATGATTATTACTACTACTATTGGACCTGTAACATTCTCATCTAAATTTAATTGATGTTTTTTAAATCAAACTTCAACAAAAGTTTTTATGAAATCAAAAATTTCTTAATATGAAGGCGTGGCATTTCGATAAAATTTCGCATGCAATTCATTAAAGTTTTAGGAACCTTGGCAACATCCTTACATGGAATTTTAAAAACAAAAAATAGAATGAATAATATGCATATCGATAAAATCTACTTTCTGCAATTTTTTTTTCAAATCAGTTTGTTTGTTTGTTGTTTAACGTCTCTCTCGAGAATTCTTCACTCATGGAGACGATAACACTTGCCGGTGGAGGACTGCAAATTTTGACATATACTCGACACTCAGTGTCATTGAGCAGTGAGAGTTATTTTGTGTCACCACCTACTGCGACACGGGACCTCGGTTTATACGGTTTTTATACGGTCTCCACGTCCCGCAGTGGATTCTAATCCCCGACGCAAGGATAAACTATTTACGTCGCGACTAAAGAGCAAACGCTCTAATCACTGCGCCACGCGGACGATTTTTTTTTTCAACTCAGAGCAAAACTATTGGAGAAGTAGCATTTTGAAAGTAATTAATGTTTACAATCAGACAGACAAAGAGCCACATATAGGCAGAAAGACAACTGACACTTTACCACTGTACCAAGTTGTTTTTTATCTGTATGTTACCATCAACCATAACAATGAATTGCGTAATGAATTTTCAGACTTTGTAGTTCTAAAACACAAACCAAATCATAGAAAAATCCTAATTCAGCTTTGAAATCAAACCAAACCAAACTTACTCAATTTTTCCATTCATGGCATTGCATTCAATCATTGCATCGGTAAGTTTGGAATTCATTGGAAAGTAATATTCACTGTTAAAAGTACTGATCATTTTAGGTGGCATCTGATCATCTACAAATAAATGAAAAAGTGGAAGTACAAAAAAGAAACAGATATTGAGTGTAGAAAAACAATCAAATTTATCGAAAAAATATTCTTGAAGTAGAGTTTACTAAAAGACTTTTAAAGACAGCTTTTGCATGTCTTTACAAATGGTTTTGATCATGGCCTATCCTATCTGATGTCAAAATTGATCTTTCCATCAGTACACAAAAATCATACTTTTAAATTGGCATTTATTTATAATACATGTTCAACGTTGAAATACTGTAATTTATATATTAAATAAAAGTGATATTCTGTCACAGTGTGAAAAAATATCAGAAGTGCTGCAAATTTCTTGATTTTCTTAACCTTCACGAAGTGTTGTAAATATGCTCCCTGGCCTTTTATAAGAGAGAGAGGGAGAGAGAGAGAAAAATCTTTAAATATGTTGTTGAAATCCGTATCTACAATGTTTTCAATCACACCATCGCTTAGCTTTGACATTTCAACCATTCCATAATGACGTCACAGCCTATGGCACTGCATTACGAAAAGACAGAGGTAAAGAAAAAATAAAAGAAAATGTAAAGCAGAGTATTCAATGTTTTGTAGTTGAATTGAAATTGATTTTACTCCTGAGAAGGATGTTTGTGAAAATATAGAAAAAAAAATCCTGTCCCACTTGTGAAATGAATTCAATATCCAACTACGAACATTGAATATCCTCTTTAGATATGTGAAATACCTTGACAATATACGATAAATGTTAATGGTGACAAAATCAGAACAAAACCAAGCCTCCAATCCATCACTGAGCACAGTCTCTTTGGCAAGAGTTTCCCCCCTTCTATTAGCAGTGTATATCTTGTTCCTTTTTTCTTTACACGAGCTTGAAATTTACTCCTGACAAGTATTTCTTCTGAAAAATCAACAATTACTTACACTGATTTATTTCCCCTCCCTATGAAATATAAATATACATAGTCCATGTTCCTCAAAGACAAATATTTCATAAATTTAACATGAAAGAAAAAAAATGAATTACAGCAGGGCGGGTTATGTTGACTGATGTTTTTCATACTAATTGTTAGGTAATTATTTAAACACTGAATTGTATAAGAATTTTTTTTCGTTTGTTCAGTCTTGACAATGAGCACATGGCGGTAGGGACCGGTCGACAGGGGATGCTTATTCCTCCATGGCACCTTATCCCACCTCTGATGTTTTTTTAGAGTTCGTGTTTGCTCTGCTCCAGATTTGTATTGTTTCAAAGGCCTTTGAGCTTGATTACTGTTCGTTACCTCCATATTTCATTTTAACCATCGAAGTATCTCTGCTGGTAAACAGTCTGTCCCCGAGGATATTTGTCTTTTGGTACCTATCCATTCATGAGTAGTACACAGTATAACGAAATGTTACTGGCAGTCGCGTCACCCAGTATAAAAAGGCGTCACTCTTTTGAGTCTATAATGGACTCAATCGTTATCTCTCAGATAATCCTAGGGGATATTAAACGTATGTCTTATGTGCAGTCTTCAGATTCCCAGTTTTTGTACAAAACCAAAAGTTCATACAAAAAATTGAAAGAATGTAAAGTTCCTATTAGAGATATATTTGATATCAATTCAATTCTATATCAAAATGTTCTGTCAAAAACTGTAAAACCTGTGATGTTTTGATTACAAGCTTTTCTTTTACTAGCAATCTTACTGGTCAGAGCCTCTATACCAAAACTTGGGGAAATCTCTGAATTGCAAATTTTCTAATATTGTCTACGGGTTAGAAAGTACCCTTTGTGGGCTTATTCATATTGGTAAATCCAATGGTTCACTTATAATAGAATATCGGGGTATAGATTTCAAATTAACAAATTAAGGGGCCCAGCAGCTTCTATACAAGCACATTAATTTACCAGATCATTCATTTTTGTTAATGAAAGTTAGAATTCTTGAAAAGATTCACCATCATACTAATAGCCCATCACTGAGTACACCTTCTGTAGACAACGAGATGAATACTTAATTAGAAAACTAGACACGGCCTTTCCATATGGTAACAATGACAATGTCTATAGTGTTAGGAACCTTTCAAGTCCACAGTGTAGCTATGAGAATGTGATGGATATTATGGGACTTTTTAGCCATTCACAAAGACTTTAGCGTAGCCTTGGACCTTAGCTTGGTCTTACAATGAACCTATTATATACGATGTCTTCTTTGATTCACTACTTCCTTATGTAAATAAACAGCTAGGTCTTCATCACATTCGCACCAAACTTTACTCTGTCCCTTTGAAAGTTTTAAATAGTCTATTTGAAAAAGTCAAGGAAAGTCCATATTTGCATTCTTCGACGCCAGAATACAGGCTCGAATCTATGATTATGGACATTACAAATCATAGGCTCAATTTATGGAAGAAAATACTGCTCAAACAACCCGTTTGTTCCTTAAACCTCAATATGACAACAAAGGAATTGACGCGGTAAATATAAGTAATACTCTTAATCACAAAAGGGTCCAGTCTTGTATTCACCATATTTCAAGTTGAAGTCCACACCTTGTATTTCTTACAAAAGTACATCAACTATTGCTTCCAAACATTTTAATTATAAACATTAAAACACATTGTATGTAGAGATCTAACATCTGAAACATAATCCTCTAACATGTTCATTCTTTCTATAAATATACTCTAAGAGACAAAATACAAGTACTTTATTCTTCAAGAGGAGTAAGATGAATGACTCTACTTTGACATCCATTTTGAGAGATGACAGCAAAAAAAATAATAAAAATAAAAATGCATAAATTCAGTCATGCTTTTGCAAAGGAAAACATATTATGACCATCATAAAGTTGTGCTCACTCGAGCCTTTGTCTCAGGTGAGCTAATAACAAGACAACACCATGGTAACTCTATAAAACTTGCAGCATGAGATCAACATAGCAATCAAATAAAGGAAGAACCTTTTCTAAGACATAGACTGTTTCATTACATCTGCGGTACTGCTCTTTTGCAGGGCAAAATGAAATATCTTGGTGAAATATGACGTAAAAACAATAGTTTAATATACGTCATTTAATTACATGTATCTGTCAACAACAACTTTGCCAAACATTATTAATTTTCCCTGGAAAAGAGTAGTACCTCAGTTATCGTGAAAGGGCTAATTATTTTGCTATACATATTTAGACGTTCATTTATGGGCAGCAATCCTCACCTGAATAACCTTGGTCATACTGATTCTTTAAAATAATTCTTATTTCCAAATGAATATTTGACTTACATTGCTTTGCTGTTCTAAAAAATAAGATTTTTTTCGTGTGTATTTTACATGTAAAATATGACCCCCAATTTAGCCCTATCCAACCCCCATGCAGAATCCGTAAGTACATAAAATAATCTTGAATCCACATAACTTTGAGAGAAGATGGGTGAACATGACGAACTATAGTGCGACAAACATGAATGTGAAAAATTAAATCTCAATTATGTTAAAATTTTCCTTGATATTTCACTTAACATTAAAATATACTTTATGTAGAATCTTTACAATTTGCAAAAATCCCTCAAAGATTGAAATTATTTGCTTATGAAATATTATGCACACACTAAAGAGAGCAAAAAGAGTCATTTTCTCATACTATAACACTATTTTTCGATATGAGTGGGTCTTCGCTCCATTTTTTGAATGTTAATCCTCAAAGTTTGCATGAAAATATACATTTTTGGTTACCAAAAATATGGAGCAAGGACCCACTATACCTTAAAAATATACTTTTTTGACACAACATTCGCATCTTTTCGAGAAATACTTGAAGTCCATTAAGTCAAGGGTCATATCACAAACATGATTTAAATGCCACCCTTCATAAGGACTTGTGTAGTCTAGTGGTTAGATGGCTAGTCTCGAAAGAAAATGATACTCAGGATTTTTATTGCATTGGGTTCGAACCCCACGAATACCAAATTATTTTTTTAATAAAAGAATAGATTTTGCCGATAAAATTTTCCTCAAAAAAAGTTTTATCATAATTTCATAAATTTCAATAATGAGAACTTTACTCTAAATACTAAATTCACAAATTGAACATGATTTTTATGTATCTGAAGCTGTAGGCTTTCTGCACGCTATGTTCGCCCATCTCCTTTTTGAATATTGATTTTTGTGATCGTGGAAGGATTTTTTTTTAATTTCCTACATTCAAATGTGAAATCTTGGGTCCCTATTTTGGCCCCTACCTAACTTTAGGGAACAATGATTTTCAAACCCAATTTAAAAAAAAAACGCTATTATTTCTATCGAACACACTGTACAACATAGTCATTTAATGAGATTTTTCCATTCAAACAGGTATTGAAGATGACAATTTTTTCTGAAATGGGAAATTTAATCTAAAGAATATTGTCAGACACCAAAGCATACAAGCACAGCCCCTACGCAGGGAAGTTTTTATTCACTGTAATGTAAATGAGCAGCTTTAACAACTTTTATATTTAAAAAAAAATGTCTCTTACAGATAAAATATTTAAAATTTCCTCAAAGCAAGGAAATAATATGGTTACATCAGGAAATTGGATTTGAAAGAAACCTGAGTACAAGTACAATTTTATGCAGCTGTAATGAAAGTGTATAAACATGAACCGAAAGATAAACGGACACTAAAATGGGGGGTTTTTTTTCTTGCTTTTCTCCATATTTAGGCATTTTTCCTTATATGTAAATTACAGTGCTGAGAAACCATTTATTTTTGTGAAAAATCGTTCATCAACAAGACAAACAGAAGATCGTTGGCGCATATAAAGGCATAGTTCACAAAGCAGGCACGTAATATGAGGGATGGTCTATAAAATCGTGGACAAGTCGTCTAGGAAAAAAACTACTGTATAGCAATCAACACCGCGCTCAAAAATTTTTAGCGCTTTTTTCATCAATATATTGTCAGAAAATAGCAAATTTCAAATGAATATAAGCCCAAATAAACAAAATATGGGATTTTATTTTATATGCGGTATGACCTTAGGGTGCATGGATAATAACGTCAAATTAGGTGTCCAAAGCAATGTCACGTGTCATATTTGCTAAAAAAGAAATACTTGAATAACCCTCTCCTAGCTAAATTCGAGAATTTCTCTATATCAAGATGAATTCCCCTTTCTTCTTCTAAGAATAGGCGAGGAACCAATTTTGTACAAACATCAGATCTTATGAAGATCTGTATTAATTAGTGTGTTATGGATAGTACTCTCACTACCTTCAGATAAATCTTTTTTCTGACGGTCTGCAATGATAGCATCTCTTTCGCTATTGCCAGTAGCTGTTGGTCCATATTTTCTGTTCTATCAGAAGACTGGATAAACAAATTTCCGCTTGAAAAAGCCTATTCCACTTTTATACTAAAGATATAGTGATATTTCTATTTATCACATGTTTACTCCTTTATCCCGTGGATATCACTCATTAGATATTTTTTCATATCCCACTGCTGTGACGTCACAATGGGTTTTCCGTGAAAGTGATGAAATAATGTAATATGGATTCATATATAAAAAACAGTGTAAAACATTCTGGCTTGGCCATGTACTTAGAAGGGACTCAGACAGCATCATAAAGACAGCTCTCTTCTGGACACCAGAGGGAAAACGGAAGAGAGGAAGGCCAAAAGTCACTTGGCGGCGGACAGTGGAAGCCGAACTTAAAGTACAAAAGAGAAGCTGGGGCACACTCCAAAAGCTAGCCAGTGATAGACAAGGATGGAGAACCCTCGTTACTGCCCTATACGCCAAAGGCGTCACGGGCAGTAAGTAAGTAAGTAAGTAAGTAAAACATTCAAAGTAATGTATAAAACATGCAATAAAAAGAATCTCCTATT